TACTACTACTACTACTACTACTACTACTACTACTACTACTACTACTACTACTACTCGGGGGCGTCCTGAAGTTCAGATATTGAATTTGAAGCCTATCAACTCAACAAGAACTGCCGCATTTAGAGGACTCGCCAGCTTCGAAGCAAACGGGTGGACCTGAACACCAATGGCGCAGCGCCATCCAGCACCCAAAATGACTGGAATACATGAGACATCCTGAGACACGAAAACCCTTCACTATGAATTCAGGAAAAGCCTCGTGTTGACTCCCAACACTCGCTTCTTCGAGTCTATGAGACGTGCTGTCTTCCAGTGTCAGGAAAGACCTGCGCAGGCTTTGCAAATACTTTTACCTCACCTTGCCGCTCAACTCACCCGGCCAAAGCGTCCTCGCAAACCATCGGTCGACTTTGTGGTGAAGGGCAAGCACAGATCATCAACCAAAGCACCTTAGAAATTCGGGCATGTGCTTAGTTGCCTGCTGTTCTTGTTCAATTCAAATCTCATGGAACATGAAGTCCAAAATAAAGCCAGCGCATAAGCAGCAAAAGCAGCAGCACTCCCTTTTGCAGTTTGGTTGGCTTTTTCTTCCCGTGCTTGCAGGGATTTCAAGGCCCACGGCGCCTGTCCCCGCTCACACCTATGACTGTTAGGCAGAATAAAGTTCGTGAAACGCCTAACTCATCAGTGCGTAGGTCTTCAAGGGACCGGATGTCCTCAGGCGTTTAGCCGGGTTGAAGCCTTCTGGATGAGGATGAGTCAACTCATCCGCCCAGGTGTTCAGTCCTCGTTTCACATGGGTTGGGGCCAATTGACAGCCCCCTTGGTGTAGCGAGAGAACTAACTAGTTGCATCAGGATCGCCGCCGTTGACATCTTCCGGGTGGATTGGTTCAGCATAGCAAAGCTGTTGCCCTGGTTGTCCGAGATCAGGGGTATGCGAAACTAAAACGATGCGAGGAGGAGGGAGCCCAACATCGGAGGGGATGTTGGCGCCCGGGTTTGCCTTCAAAAAGGCCCAAGAAAGTTTCTCACGGTTCATGTGGAGTTGGAACCGCCATACCTCATCCTTTGCCACTGGATCGTGGTCGCTAAGCCATCCGTCCCCAGCACTGTAGGTTGGAGGAAGAGTCCATATCAGCTTGGCAAAGGTCCGGACCAACCGGTTAGGACGGCCACTGGACTTGACTGCACCTTTCCATTGCCATAGCGGGCGCAGACGGGATGGAAGTTGCCCATTCGAGTCTGCCCATGGCACTGGCCGTTCCAACTCAAGGGAGTGCCTAAGGCGTACAGTGGAGCCACTGTTGAACAGAAGTCATCGACGAAGACAAAGGCCCAGTCCACCATGGGGAAAAGGTAGTACATCAGGCGCGGGAGCAGGGCTGCCATCCTGCCGCAATAAAGTTGCGCTGAGGCCATACCGTAGGCGCCGACTTTGTTGACCCACCAGTCTCCATCATTCTGGGCAATCTGACAGCGCCAGTCGGTTTCTTGATCCTGCGGTGGGCCTTAGTCACATCTGCCTTCAAGATAGACCAATGAATTTCCGTAGTGGGCCATGGCCGTTTCAGAGTTCACGGCCTCTGCACCCAGGGAGGTGTCTCATGGGGGGTGTCTGGGGGGATGTCTTGGGAGCTAGTGTAGGAAGGTCCATGACTGTGGGTGTTCTGCTGGATCCAATTGTTGGCCCCTCCGCGCAAACAGCCATCATAGATAATCCGCCGGGCAGTTCATCGACAGTGCATTGGCGGGCTTGGGCTGCTTCCTCCGGTGTGAATGGGCCATCAACCATGCTCAGGCATTTCTCTTCCTCAAAGGTGGCTTTGATGTCCTCGGCAAAGTCCTCAGAGGTGTAGTTGGAGCAACCCTTGGGGGGGGCGCTAGGTCCTCAAAGGTGTTGGAATCCTGGGCCAGAGGGCTAACAAGAAGAATGGTTGTCCTGCCGCGGGAGGCCAGGGATGTCATTTGTCTCAAAGGCGGACTCGCCCTCGTGAGGGTTTCCACCGCTATCGCAGTGGCCGGATGCGAAACCCAATGGCCATGAGTTCGGGGTCCAGGAGTGCCAATTCCACCCCTTGTGGCTTGGCCTGTGGTCTGTCTGCACGCCTCCCTGGCGGGATGGAGTGCCTCGACGGCGCAACCGGAGCAGGGGGGACCCGCGTCCGGAGGCCGGAGGTCCTCTTTGAGGTTTCTTCAGTGTGGGCAGCCTCATCAGAAAGTATTTGCGCTTCTTGTCCGTAGCCCGCGGGCTAGGAGGCGACGTACCCCGCAGGTAGTCTGAAATTGCCTCCACAGGGTGGCGCGCTTCTGCACCACCTGCCCTAGTCGGCACTGGTCAAAGGAAATGGAGGTATGGCGCGCCCGCAGTGCCACTGTTTGAAAGCCTCCGTGACCCAAATGGAGGAACACCTTGGAGTCACGCAAGGGGACACTGGCTGCATTTCACTGGGCTGTGGGGCGTTCAAGGAACAACCCCGCAGGCAGGCACCTCCTTGCTCACGCATGCCAGGATTTTGATGACCATCAGGCGAAGCAGTCATCATCCCCGTCGGATCTCTCTTAATTTTGCCCCCAGTGCTGGAATGCCCCAATGATCCTCAGGTTTTCGCGCTAGTCTCACAAACAAAGGGGCCCAGGTTTGGAAACTGGAGTAAATGCCTCCGGTCGGAGCATGTCATGTTCTTCTGCTTTCACATCCCGCCTATACGTGCAGGGCAATGACCTGGTTGGAGAGATCCAGCTGGCGGGCGTGGAGGCAAGCTTCAGAGAGAGGCTGCATCATCCTTACCTACATCGAGTAGAAAACCATCAGTTGTCCTGTCTAGAAGGAATTCAAGCGTCGAAAGTCCCGTCAACAGCGCCACCATTTCCTGAATGTCTCTCGGACGGCCTTTCATCACGGGCGCTAGCAGCAGGCTGCGACTTGTTGGATGGGCTGGTGCGGTTGCGCCTGCCTGGCCTGTTTCACCGGTTGGGCGGCGGCCCTTTTCAGTGCCCACGGCGACTGAGGGTTTGCGGCGCTTTGGGGTTGCCACTGGATCCTCAACCTCAACTGCTACGCCATTCACTTTCCAATCCACCCATCCAACGCCACTGATGTTGTCGATTCGATGAGCTCGTAAACGTCGGATGGGTTCACTCCACAACCGTCGCGGATGGAAGGGTGGACTCCAACTGCCAGTGGTGAGGCGCGCCACTCGCGGGGGCCACTTTCAGAGCCCACAGCGTCTGTGGGAGGGTCCCCACACCCCATCAAGTCTCCGGAGTGTGCTGTGAAGGTGCAGCATTACAGATCCAGCCATCCTTCATCACTGGACAGTTGTGGGAAGGGCCACAGTTCGCAGGGGCATGAGTTCTTGTAATGGAAATCGCGACAGTATACGGGAAGCCACGTCTTTGCCCAGAACCATTCATACCAATTCACCCAGGTCTTGCTTGGATGCATCGAAATGGGGGAAGGCCTGCATGTCCGAGCCAATAGTCACGCCACCCAATATATGTGTGTGGGCAGACCGTGTGGCACGCTCACATCCGCAGATCTACCTCTCTACCTCCACACACCCAGGCATCTCCACATCTATATCACACCTGCACATTGAAATCCACACTGTCACTCCTTCACATCCGCCCTCTCTTTCTCTCTTTCTACATATCTTTACTCTCAATATTTTACATCTAATTTCTTCGCAACTTCTTACTCAATAACAGATTGTATAAAGAAGTCATGGCTCTTGGACAACTCGATTTTAACGTATTGCTTGACAATCACCTTTCTCGCTCTCGGGCCAACCGTCGTCTAGTTTTTGAGTCGGTGCACACTGTTGACATCCAAAGAAGAACCACCGCAGGGTGCCCCAACACCAGGATGTCGTGGATGGAGAGGTAGGTGGCGAGCGTGTTGGAGGTGTGCTCATACTCTACGAAGAGAAATTCTCCGGCTCAAAAACCCCATCTCGGCGGCATTCTTCAAGTGATCGGGCCACCCCGACCAAACTGAGGCCACCGGGTGGATGATGGCGTTCCGGTGTTCGTTGCGTTCCCGGATGTCCTTGTTGATCTTTTCTTAAGAATTGGCTTTGTCAAGATCCATTTGACATGGTTGAAGGAGAGGTACCGGGAGTCTCTGGACCGCTCTTCCCTCCACCGATTTGTAGCGCTCAAGGTCTGCTCTGCGCGAAACTTCGGCTCCATCTGCCTCGGGGACCTCCTTGAGCACCGGCCTGCATCTCTGCCAGCACTGCCACGGTGTTCTCCGCCGAGACCAGCAGGTCCTCCTGCTTCTTGCCCATACTCTTCACCTTGGAGATCAGCTTGGCCGCCTTGCGAGTCTCCGGGTGGAAACCGTGGTCATCTGGTCGGGCTCCCTGTCCATGGCTCGCTAGGGACTTCGGACTGCACCTTGGCGGACTGGCCCCCATCGCGGAGCCCTGCCCCGATTGCAACAGGGCGCCTGGCTGTTGGCCACAAAGAAGGTCTCCAGGACTCACCAGAGACTGAGCAATGTCACCCGTCTTGAAGGTGCCCAACAGGGTTCATCGTCATGGTAGAGACCGGGTGCGGAGCGACGCCTTGATTGGGGGGAGCCACACAAAGGCATTGAGTGGCACCGTGGTGTTGGAGCCCAAGGCTTCCCCATGCACGGGGGCTTCTTTGGAGGTTTCAGAGCCAACGGCGTCTGCCTCCGCAGGGGCCTCCACAACAGCCGCAGGTCGAGGTCGTGGCAGCCACAGCCCGACGTTTGCGAGGAGTCACGTGGAGCTTTGCCATGGCAGCGTCCATGCACCTTGGCACACAGAGCCTGGGTGAGGAGTTCACATTTGACGTAGCGCGTCTCCTCCTAGGGACCTGCCAGAGCATCAGCGGCCCGACCGGTCCCTTCCAAAATGGTCTCCTCAAAACGACCAATTTCCTTCTCAGTCGAAGATTCCCGAGCCAGCGGCGGAAATGGCTACAAAGAAATGGAGAGGAGGGAACACGGGAGTGGTCTTTCAATTTGAGTACTCAATCTTGAGCCAAAATGGCAAGGCATTTTGGCTAGTGAAATGTATTCATGAAACATACAGTAACCTGCTTTACACAGGTTCCAAGCACGTACTAAGCAAAAGCAAGCTCTTCTTTGTTCAAAAGTAGCTAGGTGACGTGTGACTGGGAAGTTCTCCAAGACCTCAAGGCGCGATCTCAACAAACGGATCTGAGTTGCGTTCAGAGGGCCTCTGAGCATACCGTTGTGGTGGAGAATCCATGCCCACGCATGCCAAAACTCTTGCAAGCCAGATCGGGCCACTGTGTCCTCTTGAAACTCTCCCATGTCCACTTTCTTGGGGTAGTGCTGCAGGACACATGGGACACAAGTGTATGTGTCCACACCCTTAAGAGCACTGCTCCTGAATACTTGACACCAGGTGCAATCTGCATTCCCATCCGTTACCAATACGAACGGTTCCTTCAAGATTAGAGCCTGCAGAAAAGCCTGCAGAGGTTCAGGAACTATATCAAGCAGCACTTTGCTATCCAAGCCCGCTTCAGTGTCCAATTCGACAAAGTCCAAAAGTATGGGTTGAGTCTCAGAGCTGAAGGCCCTGTCAAAATCAAGCCTGACAGAATGCTCATCTTGGTTGGCACCTTTGGGCCTGAAGGCAAATACAGCAAGAACCTCCATGGACTTCAAGCGCTGCAGAACGTGCGGTGTCAACTTCTCATGAATCTCAGGATTCAGGTGCTTGTAGGGTTGAGAGTCTGAGCAATCGCGGAATGAAGGATAGGCTAGCCTTCCGAGCATGACTCCTTTCAGGGGCCTGGCTCCTTCACCCTTTTCCAAAGAAAGTTTCACTCTGCCATACCTGTGATTTACTTGAACATCGTTGGCCTCCAATTGCTGCACGTCAGCACCGGGAACCCCATTCAGCTTGAAAGCCGGGGAAGTGTACTTGTGAAACTCCTGAAAAACTGAGTTCCACCCACCCATGCCATCTGATCCAGAATCTCTTGCCAATTGGTTTTTGATGCGGTTCAGTGTGTGCACAAGCATTGCAGTTGACCTGCTTGTGCCCGAGCCATCTTCGATGTAATCCAGCCCATGTTGAAAAATATTTATGTGAACGGTATCCATCCCTTGCAATGATTCTGGAAATCCAACATACAAAACGAGTTCCTGCTTCCCCTTCAAAAGTATGCACCTGAGCTTGCTGAAATCATCTATTGTTGCAACACTTACCCAGGTGCCCATTGTCTCGTCAGCCTGATTGGATTGGAAAACAAGGACATCGGAAGGACCCAGCTGCTGACTACCACAAGCATGCCTGACACTGGCCACTAACGCATCCGCAGAGGAAATGTCATATCCGCTTGCTGGCGGAGGGTTCTGTCTGACCTTAGGTAAGGGCCGAAGATGAGCATATTCAGCTGGCCCCTCCTTGGCAAGGCACAAGCGAAGCCTCTTCACTCGCATACTAGAAAGCAATTTGCGAAACTCGCTCCGAAATCCGGAAACGCTTGAGCACAAACGCAAATTGGGCATCTCAGGAATTCGACAAGGCAAATTAACGTTCCGCAGAAGTTCTAAGCCTTCGCTTCACCTAAGTACACCCACATGGTCCGAAATGATCCGACTTGCCAAGGACATTCCTGTTACCCAGAAACGGCAAAAAGCTTTGAGGGGACTTCAATGACCACCTACTCATTCAGTAGAGGTAAAGCTATGCTGGCCAATGAGACTTCCAGAGCTAGAAGTCAACGAGCATCATTGCTGCGCCAACAAGCTTGCCCATGTGGGCCTAGAGCAACGAGACCTTTGAAGAAAGGGGATGACATCAAGTTCATTTTCCCAGCGACGCCTCTTTTGCCTTCCAACCCAATTGCTCGAGCCACGAGTTATCTTCACGAAAGTTTCAGAGCATGACAGCCTCTTGGTGCAGCTTCTTGGGAACCTGCTCTTCACAACACTACTACCTCTGCTCAAGCCACCACCAGTGCCCGCAACGGGACTACCGTTGAGGTCCTGGTATGCCGACTACCTCTGACAAGGACTGATGCCACACATGACACTCTCTAAAGTGATGAAACCGTTCAAGCAGCAAAGCACGAGAACAACACTCAAACAAAGAAGGGCGAGAACATGTAACTTTGAAGAAGCTACATGAGGTTAATGACCACTTGCCTTATTATGTCAGCAACCGTGCAAACTACCTGCTCCAGCAGAGACCTTTGACCTTGAGTTTGTGATAATGATATTCTTCCCAATAACTTGTTTGGAACCTTCATGTGGAATGTGGATGATGGCGAACGGTGGTAACCAGCAGCACCCTAAAAGGAAGCCTGGGCATGGAACGAAAAGTCAGAACAGCCTTTGATCCAGCTTCTTTGAGACAACATAACAGAATACAAGGTCTAAGGGAGGGCTAGCCTTGACCGCCACGAGACTTGATGATGCAAGTCTGGCACAAAGACAATGAAAGGTCGTGAGAAGACCAGCGGCGCTTGGACACCAAGCTTCAAGAGGCAATCCAGCAGGGTCATGAAGCCAATTTTATCTAGCACGCCAGGAGAAGGCTGAACATTTGAACCGCGGCAGCACAAATCGAAGCATGTGCTGGAACTTTGCCAGCCCGTCGAGCCTGTAGCCTTTCCTTGTTTCCACAACACTTTCCATTTCGCACTACTTTGGCTCTCACCCGACTTTGAGAAAACCACCTTTCGATGAAAGTCACAAAGGTTGTCGCACGTAGCACCTAAATATGGCCATGTGTCAATATATTCGATGGTGAGGCCCTTTCTCCTTATTCTAGCTGATTCTAGCTGTGGATGCTTCGTATTTACTAAAGTAGTTGAAACACGGCCTGAGTACTTACAGTACGTTTTGTGTATCCGCAGGGCCATTAAGCAGCTTTTCTACTGTATTTACACAGAAGTTGTCCTGCTACAGTTCAATTCAGTGCAATGTTGATGCTGGCCAAAACTGATTGAGATTTCGTGATCCGTGATACTCATGTCATTGATGAGAGAAACCCCTAGCCTAGTTGCTCGGTCCGACTCACACAAGCCTTATCGCCTTTATGCTGGGCTAGACCAGACCGCTGTGAGTGGGAGGAAACACAACACTGAGCGAAATTGCTCCCGGCCCTGTTCGATATCCTTGCTGGCGGAAACTTTTTGCACAAACACCCTGGCACTGCAGCGCTTCTTTTTACTCCGAACATAATTCGTGCCCACTAGATGTAGCGCGATCAGCTTAAGCTTTGGTGGACCACGAACTCACAGGCGGGAAAGGCATTTCCTGGCATGCACAACACTTATCAACAAAAGGCGTTGTAGCTGTTTACAAGTCTGCGCTTTTGATAACTCGCAAATGGTCCATTTTTGAGACCCATTTTTGAGGCCACCAGGTCTCAAATGCGGCTAATTCATCCTATAAACGTTGAAGTCTCAGAGTTTTAAGGGGACAATACACCACATCAGCTTGATGCCAGAATCCAGCAGTTCGACTGAAACCATCAGCCCAATGTCACGTGCTTCAAGTCTCACCCCACCTTTGAGAAAACAACCTTTCGATGAACATCAGAAAGATAGCCGCGCACAGCGCCAATGTAGATCTGGCTTTGCGTCGATGGATGTGGTCGTTTCCCCTTCTTCTAGCTCTCTGTGTGTGTGTCTCTACATACGAGTACAGCAAATTCCATCCGATAACCTATACTACTGAAGCCACGTGTCCACCTCCAAAATCTCTGCCAGGTGATGAGAAGGTTGGGAAGCTATCACAGTCAAAGCTGTACACTGGGAAAGCTGATACTACACCATACTATACTATACTATACTATACAGTATATCCTGGGCTGGTTCTTTAGTCCCTACATATCATATCATTGCCAATCAGTACTTGCACAAACAGCAAACATCTCGCATTTTGGAACAACTAACGCTTTGTCTCGGCCACATGCGTTAAAGTTATAGATCAAGCCCTGTGCGTGGAATCAGTGCCAGCGCACCAAGTGGGCAAGCAAACAGAGCGTCTCGTCCGGAGTGCAGTCATCCTGCCGGTCCAGAGGTTTGTTTTTGTGACACAATCCTAAATCCTAAATCCGAATACTGATACTGCCTATATAGACCCCCAAATAGAGAGAAAAGTAGATCCGCCTACTAAAAGTGCATCGGAAACCGTGCGACCATCCACTTGGGGACCACTATAGTTGATTGGGGAATATCTGACCCTATGGCAACATCATTGGAGAGTTTCCTCCAGGAGGAAACAAAAGGTTGCGTCTCGCGGGAGAAGTCTGCGCCACGAGTGGCTCGGTTCCAGTAACTTCGCTGCGCAAAGGGTCGGCTCCTGCCATTGGAAGGCCTGCTCGAAAGGCGCAAGGTCCTGGAAGGAAAGTGAGTTTGAGGTGCTCCAGCAGGCCTGAGGAGCTCTGGTTGGTTTGAAGAACAAGATCTTCCATGCCAGAAGGTTCCTGAATCTTGTGACATGAGACATGGATATCACAAAGCATGTGACCAAACAAGCGGTGAGTCCGCAGGCAGAACAGTCCTGAGACTGAAGCCCGTTCTGCCTGCGTCCCCCGTTCTCCATCTATAATCAGTCCTGCTTGACCTTTTGAGCCCCCTCTAAAAGTTCGCATTGAATCTCGTACCTCAACACACCAACGGCCTTTTCCACCAGTTCGGAACTGATCCAGTTCTGTGGAACAAGTCTAAGTGCTGCACACATGGCGCACCAAATTCCTGTAAGCGACGATCTTAAGCTTCTCCTGGCGGGGGCCACGCGACGAGAGGCGTGCGCCGGCCGGGTTCCGTCAAGCTCGCTCCCAAATGGATGTTCTGAGGTTGGGACCACAACCAAGTAGGTTCCCCAGCAAATTAAAGTGTCCTCCTCCAGATCACTCGAATCGAATCGCACACGTGGGAGAAACATCCGTGTGTTTGTGCAGATGTTTCAAATAATTGGAATCAAAATAGCACAATTCAACACGCGTGCCTGCTTCTCAAGCTCCTGGGGCACATCTTTCACACCAGAATCACATCATCATCATTCAGTTCCAGACTTTGATAAACCCAACAGCGAAACAACTATGCAACTTGCACGAAGACCGATACTTTCTTCACCTTTTTGGATCACTGAGAGCAGTGAAACGGGGAGAGGAGTAACGCTGCGTTCTTCGATGATCCATGATCCTCATGTGTTCTTCGATGCCTTGTCTTCCCGAATCAACTATACTTTGGGATGCTTTGATCTATCTCATTCCCTGTAACGGATGATGCTTCGGTGAGACGGCCGACATCTCTCAAGTAGTCCTATTCTAGTAGCAATGCCCTTTGCTCCTAGTAGCGTCCTTGCTCCTAGTAGCGATGCCAGGAGCCCCTAGTAGCGTCCCCTACCGACTGTTACATTACTGTTTACTGGGACACCCCCAAACTGCACTTGTTTGTCTCCCCGAAGAGGCTTCGCTCACGCACCCTGCCGTGTTCGCCTCGCTGAAGCGCTTGACGTTCCCGGTAGCTGTCGCTGCTACGATGCCCGTCAGACTGCAGCGTGCAGCCGAGCGTGCAGCCGGGAGAACTCGGAAATACAGATGATGCATGCATGGATTTGCGGCTGGGCAGTTTGGTTGGGGAATTGGTTGGGGAATTGGGCTGGAGTTAGACTTGGATTTTGCGGTGGGGGCAACACCAAGCACACCAGAACAAATCGCCTCTGCAAGTCATTACGCTTCAATAGGCCTGGCTCGCAGTCTGACGGGGTTCTGCACTCCGAACACCCGGAAGACTTGATGACTTGCAATGTTTGGAGTCCGTCGCTTGTTGGGCCAAAAAAGACAAGCTAATTCCTATACTGTCAAAGATGAGCTTGGCCTTGCGTTGGATACTGTCCAAGCCGAAGACGGCAGGGGATGAGATATCTCAGGATCCTGAGCTCCATTCAAAATAAAGACGATTCAGGTGACCTGCTTTGGGCGACTTGGCAACTCTGGGAGAGGGACTGACATCGGTTTCGGGCAGCCTGAAGGAAGCCACTTCACCCAACATCTCTCCAATGCTTTGATGATCCACATCTCTCATGTTAGTTGCCGTACATCTTGTACATGCCAACACACTCTTATATAGAAGCATGCTTGCCGCAGTAGCTTTTTTGTACTATCTTTGCTGCGGTAGGGCTTGGTGCGCTCCGTAGAGAATGCCCGGATGCCACATCAAGTCCTTGGTCTGTCGCCGGAAACACAAAGAAATGTCAAGCTTTAAAGACACACAACAAAATTTGTCTTAAAAAATAGCTCTTGTCTTCCTGTCAATGACTTTGCAGATTCTTCTACCCAAGGCGTTAAAAAAGACTTAGCATTAAAGACAAAATGTGTGGGTCACATTTTTGGGTGTCTGGGTGATCAGGACACCTGCTTTTTTGGTGCCTGGGTATGTTGCAAATACTGTGCCAACAATAACAATGTTTAAGAACACACAAAGCTGATGTTGAATTCGTCCAGTTCTCCTGTTCCCACCGTCGTTCCCACTTCTCATTCCCGGACCAGGGCAATTCAAGAACAGCCTGAGACAGCTGCGCTTGATCCTTGCTGGCCAAGTGATAGGAAGAAACAGCTCGTTGAGCCGGCAAATGATCTGGTTGACACCCAGAGTACCCTCCTCCTCTGCTCCTCGCCGCGCTTCCTTCGCTTCCTTCGCTTCTCTCTCTTGCCGGCGCCGTCACGGGGGCGCTTTTCGGCGCCGTCATCGCCCGCACGGCGCGCAGCATCCGCTGTCGCCGCAGCGGCTCCAGCAGCGGCTCCGGAAGGCCTTCGTCCACGAAGGCCCGGCTGCGCTCCGGCTGCTGCGCAAAGGCGCGCCCGAAGCGCCGGAGGATCTCCGCTTCGAGAGCCGCGAGCTTCGGATTCGGCGAGGCCTTCAGACCGCGATCCCTTCCGCTTCCGCTTCCGCTGCGCTCCGCGTTGGAAGCTTCCAGGAGCTCTGCGCCACGCGAGGCCAAGAGCGACTCCTCGAAACCGCCTCGGAGACCGAGTTCCGAGACCGCCTCCATCATGCTCTGGGGGTCCGAGCGGCGAAAGGCCTCTTCCAAACGATCCAAGACCTGAATCACTGCAGCTGACAAGTGCCCAGATCCGAAATTCATCAAATCCTCCACCTCTTCTGCAAGGCTTTCGGCTGGCTTCTTCTTGGAGGGTGCACTGGGCCCCTGCAACGCTCGGACATAGGGATAGTGAGGTGCCCAGGGTGGCGCTGTCACTCGAGATGTCGATTGATGGGTTCCTGTCATGAACTAAGTGCAAAGGAGCCGGGGAAACAACTATGGGTCTGTAACTGTATCACTTCCTATGGTACTCCAACCAATAACACTTGACACTTGCTGCAAATGTTCTCGTGACTTTATACTATACGTCTTCCATGTCCACAATCATCCGAGAAAAGAATGACTGAAATCGGAGAGTGTCCTTCGGCGACGTTCAAGAAGTGGGCTGTGGAAGTCGCATAGGGATATCCATCCACGCTCCAACCATTCTTCCAGCCCTTCTCTGTGTAGTCTGCATTTTCCTCCCACCAGTGTCTTTGACCCTGGCAAGCATAAAAGTTGCACACTCATGCATGTTTGCCACCAACAAACAGGTAGAGCCAATGCGAGCGCACACAGGCAGACGAACTAGTCACGCCACAAGCTGGCCAAATTCGATCTGAGACAAGGTGCTACATGAGAAGAAAACACACTAGCCAAGTACAAGCACCCATTGCGAGCTGTTACTGTTGCCATATCCCTGCGTTGATATCTTGCTACACTTACGGAAACAAGGTTGCCACTATACTCAACAGGTTTGGTCAATCGCCACCTCTTCCTGAGCCCCAGATACTGGCCGGTTCCGCAGCAACGGCATGGCCAGGGCGACACAAAGGAGATGAGAGTTTCGGTCTTTCAGAAGGATGGGCGGGTCCGTGTGGGTCCATGTCCGGAAGCTGGGAGAAGTCTGAGTCCGGTTGCGATCACGTGTGGCTCCGGATGCGATGTGTCTTCAAATCATCTGTCTGTTGCGGCTTGACTGGAACCAGTCAATGTGAAACCCAAAAACCCTCTCGAACAAGCATGAGCCCGTCAACGGTGCACGCCCACGGCCTTCAGAGGGCAAATGGCCAGCGCTCGGTTGAGCTTGTCCTCGGCCTGGTCCAGAGCTCATGCGATCGCTCACAGAACCCAACTATCACATCTGCAACGGACAGGAGTGCCGACCTCCTCGATGCTACCCGCCATGACTAGGTGCTTGCCCCAGAGAAAATACCTCACAACTGTCAATGGAGGTAGGCAGGAACCGAAGCTTTTGGGCAAGGCGACATGGGCAGGATTCACATGAAAGCCTTTTCGCAAGTCCGGTCATGAACAAGCACTTTGGAGAACTATAGATAAATCTCTTTGGCCCAATTCTCAACGCAACGGGCACAAAGTCACCAGCAAGGACTTTGGCAGTTTGACGGCATCAAACCTGCAGCCCACAGGAAAGGAGGGCTCTCATCTCAACGACAAAAGGCAACTAAAGAGGTGCTGGGAAGCCGGCGCATTGTTCTTTGAGGCATTGCCTCAGTTCTCGTCACTTCACCGAACACAAAAGAATGGGAAGAGAAAGCTGGGACGCAGACCCACCGTTGTGAGAACAAAAGCGCATTGGGATGCCTCATCGATTCGCAGCCGCTCAGGTCACTTGTGCAATCGTTGGTCTGAGACCTCACCTGTCCCAAGCTGCTGTAGAGTCGAAGGAGCTCACAACAAATCACCAGAGCGCCCTGGGCGAGGATCGAAGGATTACCCCCCGCTTCCCTCTTCTTTCAACTGGCTGGATGCAGCGTTTTGCAAACCAGGGATCCTTGACTCACTATCAGTCATCCAGGGCTGCTGCTTAACCCGAGAACTCCGAGAGGATAGCGGATAGCATCGCTAGCTGAACTTCAAACCACCTCGACCATTAGCATCGCTATCCTCAAACCGCCCTTGTGGGTGAAGGATCACCGGTTCGGAGCTCAGCTCGTCCCATCGCGGTGGACTCGCACCTCGCGGCGGTCTTTGTCTCGGTGGAGCTTGGTGAAAAGCGCTCGTGCGGCCTGGGGACCGTGCGCTCGGCTGGACCGAAGACCGGAGGACTGACCGGACAAAAAAGGATGCTAGACGGTGCTCCCAAAAGAGAAACGCTAAATATATACATATATACTCTACCTGGAACCTGAAACGACCACTTTTTTGGGTCGTTTGAAAAAGACCATTTTTTGTCGCTTCAAAAAAAATACGGTCGTTTCATCTTACAGTCATTTTATGTATGAAAAATACGGTCGTTTCATCATGTACGTTGCTCATATAATTTGCATGTGTATATACGAGTTTCATCAAATAGTATTATTCTTTTGAACGTTGCTCATATTCGTCAGCCTGTACAGCTGAAAGAGGTGAAACGTGAACATTCTTTCACCAGCCCTTTAAATTCTGAAACACTCATTCACCCTTTGGGTGAATTCTTTCACCGGCCCTTTAAATTCGGTGAAGTGCGATCCTGCACATGCAATCTGGCCACTCACTCAGGCACGTGTGTCAACACCACACATTTGGCACACCACCAGGCATTGCCTCCTGCAATCTGAGAGGTTGCGAGCGATATCCTGCAATTGCCTCAGACACACAAGTTTTCAAACAACAAAGCAACACTAATTGTCTTGGGCTTGTGAAAGCCCAAGACAATGGGCTTGTGAAAGCCCAAGACAAATCCATGAGCACTAGACCATGCACAAACACTGAATGCAACCACGCAGCCTGCTCATCCAGCGATGCTCTTGTGAGCCAACCGTGCACCAGTCATCAAGGACATCGATGCTGTAGCGTTGAAGTTCCTACATGCAACAAACATGCCACAAGGAATCAAAAATTTTCATGGATTTGGTTGACAACTTTGCCATGCACAAACATAAAACAAATTGAGCCCAGAGTCAAACTGAGCTAGATCGAGGGATGCCTCCAGCGCTTGCAAATTGCGCATTACCCGTAAGGCGTGTTGTAGCTCCGGCGTCGGCAGTCCCACTGGTGCAGCATTCCACTGTGCTTGAACAGCAGGTGCATTGGCCTCAGCCTGCTTTGCCACTGCCTTCGGAGGCACTGCTTGACCAAGCACTTGGTCAGCTTGGCCTGGCTGGCGGAGCCTTCCGCGGCACTGCTTGAGGAACTTGGTCAGCTTGGCCTGGCGGAGCCTTCCGCGCCACTGCTTGAGATCCAAGAGCACTCTGCAGCTCTGGTGGTGGAACTTTGTACGGCGGTGAGTACGACACAGGGCGCCCTGCCAACACAAAAGGTGGCGCATCCGCCGACATGGCAGTCCCAGATTTGGCTTTGGCAGGATCAGCCATTGAGCCACTCGTGCAAAAAAACTTGCTCGGGCCAAAGTATGCTGGCGCATCAAAACATACATGCAGCAGTGCACAGCATTTGCGCATAAGTGGCCCTCCTCACACCTGGTCTGTTTTGAAGTACATTGTGTACTGCACACATATCACAGATAGGTACCTGCGAAGGCACCTATCCAGCAATTCGGGCACTCACATGTTTCCCACATAAAGGCATTGCGAAAGCCCATACGTGGGAACCATGTGAAAGCCCATGCATGCATGGGCATGTGAAAGCCCATACATGGGAACCATGCGAACCTTGTGAAAGCCCACGCATGCACGGGCATTGTGAAAGCCCATACATGGGAACCATGGGAACCTTATGAAAGCCCATGCATGCACGGGGATTGTCAAAGCACGCGCATGGGCTTGTGAAAGCCCACACTGGCTCAAACTTGCGCAAATAGAGTTCAGAAACCTATTGCGAGCACATACACTCAGGATCGCTCAAGTTTGTTTTAGCAAAGCTCTTTGTTTGAAGCTGCATTGCTTTGCAATGCTGGCAAAACCCCCAGCTTCCACCGCTGAAGTGTCCTCAGTGCAGTGGCTCGGCCGCTGACTCGACGTGTAACCCTGGCCGTGTGGCCAACGAAATCTTCATCTTGGGGCGTGGAATCATTTAATGGATTCCAAACAACCCCATGCGCTAAGAGCTGCATTCTCATCACAACAACCACATGATGAAAACAATGACATTTGGGGACCATGTTGAACAAAAACCTTTCACTGTCAAACGCCCACACAGCCAGCCTTTGGTACGCTGTGCAAAAGGCTTGGCCTTTGACCATGCAATCCATTGCGTCCTGACCATAGATCCAAACCCCAGATGCGTGCAGCAAATCCCAAAATCTGCAGAAAACCTCTGCAGCCACTTTGATCAGGTCATGCTGCTCAATGTCATTTGCAGGATAGTTCCCACACAGCCACACCACAAAACGGAGAAGGACAATACTGTCCTGCCCTTTGCTCCATGATCCAGAGACATAGTCTTTGACAGAGTACCCCAACAAGGTTAGGTTCAGCTGATTTGCATGAAACGTGTGCCTCTGGTTCTTGCAAAAGGTCTTGAGCACTTCATTCATTTTGACAGCTCTCTCCGGCAAGTTGGGTTCGTCAAACAATTCCAGTAAAACAGTCAAACATGAGCCAACAAAGTCTTTCAAAATCCCTGCGCAGCAAACATGAAACAAATCCAGTTTGAAAAAACTTGCCGGGTGCGAGCGATCACTCAAGCAGCACTCAAGCAACGCAGGTGTCCTCATGTATGGAAGTTTCCCTTGGTCACCGATAGTATTGATCCAACTCGCCTTGAAGTCATGTCCATTCATCAAAGAATGTTTGCGGGATTTTGCCTAGCTGCATCCAAGCCACTGTGTTGCTCAGGTCCTTAAAAGGATGATCCCTTGCGCCAGCCATGCACAGCCTCAATGTCAGCATTCTGCACAAGACCCATGCATGCACGCACTACTATTGATCAATGCTGACAGTCAACCAACAGCATCCAGCCAATTCCGTTGAGTGTTGAGTGAACAGCTTCAGGTGCTTTGCGTACATGACTGAATGAGCGCACAAATCCAGCCGCTTTGACTTGATACGGTAGATCACCTAGACAAGCCAACTCTCCTGCATTGCCATACTATGGGATTTGAACCTGCTGACCACGTCACCTTTCATCCCAATGGTGGCAAACTTGAACTTCAGCCCCCCATTGTTATAGCCCTTCTGATAGAGTCGCTTCATGCCATTTCCTCAGTTCATAATTTTAACGATATCAACATTATTAAAACAATCGCAACAAACCACAGCGCACACGCAAACAAGATTCCAAAAGCTCTGAACAGTCGGTTCAACGGCTGGGGTGTACCACCACTGTACATTGCGCGTGGAAGGACACTGAAAAGGAACCGGGTTCCCCAGGTGTTGCCACGGTAGTTGATGGCCAACCCAACTCTACTTGGCAAAGCCTTTTTTGTTCCTCCTCCCAACACTGGCTGCCATTGAAGGATCATCACCTCTGTTCTTTTGAAGTGTCGACCTCCATCTCCATGGAGCTGTACCGGCACAAGGCTGCTTGCATCAACGACACCCTGTCGAAGATCTTCCGAAACATCATGGTTGGGGAAGACCTGTTGGAACCACTGCCAAAAAAGGGCCAAATCTTCACGGCCTGCAGTTGCCCAAAACCCATGTCTCACACGCAGTGACCAACGACAACCAAACGGTCTCATTAATCCAAGGCACACCTCTTCAGGGTCACCCCAAGGGCAGCTTCAAAATGGCCATGTTGGGCCAAAGCTGCAACAACATCCATGGGCTCTATGGCCGGGTAGTTCATGAGCTTCTTTGACACACCCAACCTGACGCTTGGACTTTCCCACTCTTTGGGTGCCAGTGCCAAAGAGCATTGACAATCATGCACAAAAAATGAAACAACTCTTGTTCTCCAAGCGTCTGCAGGAATGATATCTTGGCCTGGAAAGTGGCCTTCTTGCAGTCACCCATGACTTTGCGCACATGTTCTTCTGCGTCTCTTTTTGACCCTTTTGCCAGGTCCTGCAAACACAGGTGGTGCACACAGGTGAGGGCCTTCGCAGGCCCTCAATTACACAGACAGGTCCCATGCTCTCGCTTTAGGCAACTGGTCCCAGCGACCTTGAACATACACGATGCGGCCACCAAACTTATACAACCGGGCCCCAATCCTGCATCAGCAATCCCATCTTCTGCATCTATCTGCGCACACTCCACAATGCTTGACGCAGGAACCTCTCAAGCAGAGGGAAGTTGCACACCTGATCACCCAGTTGCATTCCACAAGCAGCGAGTGCCAAGCGCCACACCCCTTTGGCCAACTGGCGGGCAAAGAACATAGTCTTCCTCGAGTTGGTCTGCTTCAAACCTGGCATGTCCCACTGGGAGCGTGTACCCTTTAGTTGCTCGATCCATGCGTGGGCCCAACATGTAAGTCACAAGCCACACTTGGCAGCAAGGGAAACTTTTCACCCCACCACATTGCTTATGGTAAAAGCGCGAACCATCGTGTGTGCATTCACACACCTAGAGGTTCCCCTCTGGCATCAAATTTTGAGCTACTAGGCACCGGACTTTCCCCTGTGCCTTTTCTTAGGCGGCTCAGGCTCTTCAGTTGTCTGCTCAGGTTTTGCCTTGGCCTTGGTCTTCGCCTTGGCCTCACCAGTCTTAGCCCGATTGGCTGGCTGATTACTATCATCTTTCTTCTCCACCTTCACAACCATCTTCCTGCAAGCCAGGCACAAGTGCCTGTGAAGGCACTGAATGCAACATGCGTGCACACGCTCCTATTCTTGGCTTCAAACGAAATGGCCAGGGCTGCCCTTGGCTCACAGCAATACAACAAACCCATCCATGAGCACACCATTGCACATCATCTCAGTTGCCCACTCCTTCCTGAGTCTCTTCATCAGTTCAGCCACCTTCTCCTCAGTCTTTTGGTTCGACCTTACACAGCTGCACAATCACGCGCACAAATTCATGGTTGCATTCTTTGTTGTCAGCAAGCCACCCAGGGTCAGTGATCTTTGCTGAAGCCTGCAAAAATGCCAGCTCATCATAGATGGTGGAGAGCTCCGAATTCACCTTCTTCATTCGCTCAATTTCCCTCAGTCATCACGAACATGTCAACTGTACCTGAGCAA